CACACATTCAGACATCATGTGACCGGACGACTTGCACGTTAAGCTTACTCGGTGTGTAGTCCTCCCCAATGAGAACTACTTCAACTTCTCTTCTTACGACACTGCATTAGGCTGTCGTAGGTCTCCCTCTGGGTCACTGCCTCTATGACATATCCATTTTTTTGAGTCATTGCAGTCGTGCACACTCAACCTTTCTGATCACTGCTTTCACGACACAACTATCCTTTGAGTCGTTAATTGCATGACATGCCAAGGGTCATTGCCTCCATGACACACCCATCCTACGACACATTTTCAAGTCATTTCCTCTATGCCACACCCATTCTTTAGGTTATTGCCTGCACGACATGCCCACCATTTAGGGTCATTATTTCTACGATACACCTATAACTTTGGGCCGTTGCGTTCACGGAATGCACACTCTTTTGGGTCACTGCCTCCACGGCATGCCCATTCCGTTGAGCCGCTACCTCCGCGACACACCCATATTTTAAGGTCGCTGTCTTCATCACACACCCACTCTTTTGAATCACTGCCTCCAGAACACATTCATCCTTTGGGCCGCTGTTTCCATGACATTCCCACCCTTTTGGGTCACTGCCTCTAAGACACACCAATCTTTGAGCCGCTACCTCCACAACATGCCCACCCATTCGGGTCACTGCCTGCGTGGCACACCTATCCTTTAGGCCACTGCCTCTTTGACACGCTAACTCTTTTAGGTCATTACCTCTGCTACACACCCATCTTTTCAACTGCTGCCTCCACAACACATCCACCCTTACGGGTTATTGTCTTCACGACACACCCATTTTGTAAGTCGTTGCCTCCTCAGTATGCCCACCATTTTCAATTCACTGTCTCCATGGCAAACCCATTTCTTTGGGTCGCTGCTTCCACGACACACCAGCTCTTGAGTCATTGCCTCCACAACACACTCCTCACTACTACTATTATATGATTATTTGCACTTGCCTTTGCATTTTTATGCTAAACAAGCCAGCCTCGATAGGCGAGTAAGCTCGTGTTGGTCGCGATGTCTTAATAAGTATTGCTTGTCGGGTTGATTCCGACGAATAATGCGAGTTAAAAGCTAGCTAACAAAGAACCTGGTAAGGTTTTCCTGTGTCAATGAACACTTTGATGTAGGATTTAAAAGCTAGCTAACACAAATGCTTCAGGAGCACCGAAAAGTGTTCATGTGGACTGTAATAAAATTGTCCAATGTTTCAATCGATACAACAAGTCATAAGTTGAACATCAACCCCTTCTTCTGGCCAGTCCAACAGAAGATCTGGTCGTCCTCCTGAACTTTGGCTAAATTGATAGCATTGGAGGTGCAGAAGCTGTTGGACACAGGCTACTTCCGTGAAGTCCAGTATCCGATGTGGCTTTCGAACGTCATCATGGTCAGGAAATCTAATGACAAGTGGCAGATGTGCGTCAACTTCACCAATCTCAACGCCGTTTGCCCAAAAGATGCATACCCCTTGTCGAAGATTGACACCTTGGTGAATGAAACACTTGGATATTTGGTGATGAGTTTCCTAGACGCTTATTCCGGCTAACACGAGCTAAAAATGTACCTGATAGACACAAAGGAAACGACATTTATTACCGCACAAGGCATACTTTGTTTTAATATAATGCTCTTTGGGTTTAAAAATGTTGAGGTGACCTATCAATATCTCATAGATGTAATTTTCTTTAATAAAATGAAAGAAACATTGAGTTGGTTGTCGACAATATTCTAGTTAAAAGTAAGTCAATTGAACAACACAACAAAGATCTAAAAGAAACCTTTGGAACACTTCAAAGATTCAATTTGAGATTAAACCCCTCCAAGTGGACCTTCGGGGGGTGTCGACCAGGAAGTTCCTCGGCTTCCAATTAACTGTCGTATGATTAAAATCCAATCCAGAGAAAGTGCATGCAAACCTAAACATGAAGCCCTTGCTGAGTACTAAGGAAATTCAATTATTAACCGGTCGAATAGCCGGGCTCATTCACTTCATCCCAAAGTCATGCGACAAGTACGCGGCGTTCTCTAAAGTACTAAAGAAAAATTAGTGCTTCAAATGGATGATTGAATGCAAGGAGGCGTTCAGAAACTTGAAAGATTCCTTAGTTTTCCCACTGCTACTCCAGAGCCCGAAGCTAGCAGAAATGTTTTTAGTGTACTTTAGAGTCGGACGAGAGGCAGTAAGCCCAGTTCTAATCTGAGAGGAGGTAGGAAAGCAGTACCCGATCTACTACACGAGTTGAGTGCTTCATGGCATCGAAACCAGGTGCTTGATTATGGAAAAACTAACCTTCACTTTGATTACTTTCACACGCAGGTTTTCGATCGTACATCTAGATGCATTCGATCTGGGTCATGACGAACCACCCATTGATACTTGTACTCACACAATTGGAGCACCGTGGTCATCTACTGAAATGGGCGGTAGAACTCAACGAATTCAACTTCACCTATATTCCTCAGACGACAATCAAAGTTTAGGCACTTGCAGCCTTCCTGGCTGACTTGTCCACCACAGAAGAGCGGGAAGAGGAAGTCACCTCTGAAAATAGGACATGGATACTATACGTCGATGGAGCCTTCAAACAGACAACAACATGACTAGGGCTGGTCCTATGCAGCCCAACAGGAGAGCATCTTTTTCAGATGATCTTGGTGGAGTTTGATGTAAAAAACAATCAGACAGAGTACAAAGTGCTAATTGTCGGGCTCTGGCTGGTTTACGAGATAAGCACCAGGGACATCCTAGTAGGGTTTGACACCTTGCTAGTCATGAATCAGGTTAACATAGAATTTGAAACCAGAGATGAGCTGATGGTCAGATACCTTGCTAAGCCGAAAAAGGATATTGGAATATATAAGAGCTTCCGCATCGAGCACGTCAGTCGGGGGCACAATCAAGTAACTGATATCCTTTACAAACACACTAGTTTGGGAGGAATACCCAGAAAACTAATCGAGCCAATAGTCGATCAACTGACGACAATGGAGGTAACGGTCAACAGGACTAAAAATTAGATGGATCCACACATCAACTACTTAAAGACCAGAAAAGTAGAAGAAAATATCAAAGATCTGAGGCGTTTTAAAATTAAAGCTGCCCTGCTCCTTTTAATCAACAAAAAGTTGTTCAAGAGGTCGGTTATTTCGGTAGGTCAGGCCATTCTTTTGAGATAATGAATATAATCGTATCAGCAGGTGGGTTCGATTCAATAATTTCTGCAGGTGAGCTTGGTTCAGCTAGAGGTATCAATTCAAGTTAGTGAGATTGGTTCAGGTCCGACCTGATGACCTGACCATAATAGGGACAACCTGACCCCAACCCGGGTAATAAACTGGTCGAAAACTAAGACCTGAACCTGAGCTTCATCTGCTAACCCGAACCCAACCCGAATAATAAACATGTTAAATTCTCTAATCAAAACCAACTTGAAAAATATTCGGGTCAACCCTAATCCGTATTTTTTTATTAAGTTTGAGTCGTATTGACATGTCTGATCAATTTTTGACACCCATATATTTAATCAGTTCAGCATGTGGACTTTGACTCAATAAACAAAAAATTCCGTATACTCATTTGTGCATCCACAAATATGTATAAAGTTTAATAGAAATTTATTGTATTTATTATCATATTATATTTTGATTATGATGAATATTCTTCAATTATCACTTTCTTTATTGTTCTTTTCTTTTCCTTCTATACGAACATGTTGGTAATATCAATAGAATCATTAAAAAAAAAAAATGTAAACTTTTTTTTATAAATTATGTCATCACATTCCGAACACAAAATTTAAATTTAAATTTTTTTTTCTTTTTCTTATTTGTCGATGATACTATCACTCATCTTAATTTGATACACAATCCTTCATTTTACACTCATGTTTAATGATCTTGTAAGGATACTATGAAGATCATCACTCAAGAAGTTGTCTTCTTTTATTTTCTTTGCTATTTTTGGCTTCAAATGCGGAGGTTATTGTTGATGTGTTTTGAATTCCACACCTTTGGCCACTCATCTTGGAGGAATTATTGTGCGCGGACACCGCATTCATCTCTGCATGCGGTGTCCGATCTTGGCCGTAGATCACAGTGATCTACGGCCATGATTATTTCTGTTTTTTATATAAAAAAAAAAAATTTAGGTGGGGCCCACCGAAATACATCGGGACCGTAGATCAGGTGATCTACGGTCCGGATCGGATACCACACGAAAGCTGCATGCGGTGTCCGATCAGTATGGAATAATTTTTCCTCATTTTCCATTATTGATAGCCATCCACATGTCACAATTTGTCTAGCCACCCTTTTTCCACCGAGCTCACAAACGTGCGTCCGAGGCTGGATAAACAAACTGTCTTTCCTGTTTGGTCGCCACAGCCAATCCTCCTTTCCTCCGTTAACTCCCGGCCCGATCCGCTCGTGACGGTCACGTGATAACTCCATATAATCCGTTACCCCACGCTAGCCTCGTGAGCCGCTTTTCCTACCTCTCAGACCACATCAGCCGCATAGTACAAAACAGCGGAGCATATTATAACTGCAATCATATCAATCCACCTGGCAATGCAATCCCCACCTCACCTGGGAGTTCAGATTCTGCTGCGTTCATCCGTAATCATAGGGATATAAGATTAGTGCGAGTACTAAAAGCAAGATTTACACTGATTACCGCTGCTTTCATCCCCAGCGATCTGCCGCTCGGGAGAATCAACATGCCACTTTACCGTTGGATTGGCTTTAAAAGTCGTGCGATAGATGATCTATAACGGATGTTCAGATCTCAACGTCGATCCAAGGGCTGTAGGTTGTAATGCGTAACATCATTATACAACGATACTTGCATTAGACAAAATGTATCCATCCCGCCCCGAATTGGCAACTATTATTTTGTCACACGTGCGAATCTAACTACACTGTGAAGTATATGCGCAAATTACTCGCAATATTAAGGTGGGGGGAGGGAGAGAGAGAGAGTGCAGGGAGGAGAGCGTAGGGACGACATTGGTTCCAGGAAACTGAGCTCGATTTCGGGCTTGGTGGGCGATAGAGAGAGGGAGGGGGAGGGGTGGGGGGGACCAAGATCGCGAAGGCGATAAAGATTCTGATACTTCTGTCGCGCTTCTCCTCGCGATAGAAGCGTGAGTTCATCTCGAGTTCGTTGGAACGAGTTGGGTCAGTTCAGCGGCTTCAACCCTCATATTCTGATGACTGATTTCTGCATTTGTGGTTTATTTGCTAGATCATTTTGGAAGGAGGCCTTCTGTTTGCTTGAGTGTTACTGTAGCATTAAGATTCGGTTTCCAATTGGAAGAGATATTGTTTTTTATTTTTCCCTTTCGATTCTGTGTATCTCCTTTGAAGATACAAATGTCGAAAAAAGGAAATTAATTGATCCGATAAGAGGTGGCAATCAGATTTCATAGATTCTAGGGTTTGAGCATTGCGTCTCTCCGTCGGAATAGTATAATTTGACTTGTCGGTTTGCGGTCTATGCTTTTTTGGCTGCCGCACTGTTTTTCGATTAGTGGACTTCTTATCTTTGTCGTGTTTTGTTTTCTATAGGGGAATCATTGTTGTTTGCGGTGACGCTGCGGAGTTGGTTGAATGGACCAGGTAAGCTTTTAGGACAGGGATTGTGTCTAATTGTGTTTAACCTTATTTTGGCATAATTTTGTATGATCTAGATTTTAATTGGGTGGGGGTGTTTTCTTAACTGCGACAGTATGAGAAGGTGGAGAAGATTGGAGAAGGAACATACGGAGTAGTGTATAAGGCTCGGGACAAGCTCACTAATGAGACGATCGCTTTGAAGAAGATAAGGTTAGAGCAGGAAGATGAGGGAGTCCCCAGCACGGCTATTAGAGAGATCTCTCTTTTAAAGGAAATGCAGCATGGAAACATAGTCAGGTCTCATTTTCAGGCTATGTTCGTTGCTTTTTTTTTTTATTTGAATGCAATTTTTGAGGTGTTTCTCTTATTGCTCTCCGTATGATTATTATCAGTTGGAATACTTACATTAACATATTTTTTTGTCTTATTAAAGAACTTATTGTTCTGAGCGGTTCTGTAAATGTCTTTGTAATGCATGTCCTTACCCTTCAGCATTTAAATTGAATTTGTCCATTGGTCCTTTCTTCCTTTGGGTGTTGTGCCAGAATGAACCCACAGATTTTCTATCTATATATGGTGAATAGGTATAGACTCGAAATGTAGTTACAATTTAACCCGATTTAATGTTTGAAGAAAACAGCAAAACAACCAGCAAACCTCGATGATTGCTAACATTGAAGTTTGAAAGGATTCTGTCTCTTGGAATGAGGCATCAACAAGCTTATTTGAACTGAATTGGCTTCTCCTTGCAAATATTCCATACTAATTTAGAACACCATTTGCTCTATTGAGTTTCCTTAATCTCAATAAAAGATGCTGTGAATCTTGGTTCTATTAGAAACATCAATTTAAAGAGAAGAATACATTGGGGAGAGGCAAACAAAATCAGAGCAATTGATGATAGGAGGGCAAAGTGCAAAGCAAATGACGTGAGTTGTATCTGGGCACATTGAATGGTATATCTGGCTATGGGTAATAGTAGGCTAGTTATACCTTATGAAGGGTTGCTTCTAAAAACAACTTGTGAACTACTTGCTATGACAAGCATCTTTGGTGAGTTAGGGTGACACTAGACGTGGCAAACCCTCTCATAATATCTCTTTCTAATTGTGGTCTATGCGAAGGAAGTTGAGGATACATCAATTCTTCAAATTTCCATGTTGGACTAATGCGATGTGGCGGCCTCAATAACCAAGATCCTTCTCAAGCTATCCTGAACATAGCTTCGTCTCAACTTTGCCACCAACATATTATAGCTGAGGTGTCCATCTATTATTGTTTCATGTTAGAATTGCCTTAAGCCCTGATAGTTAGGGATCTTTATCGTTAAGCATTCCATAGGAAGTAGATATTCAAAACTCATCTCAGGTTCTCAGATGTATTTTGTCGACCTCAAGCTTTTTTGTCAAATATTCTATGGCGTGTCCAAGCAACTTATTTGAGTTGGCTTGTTGAAGGACCCTAGCTTGAATACCCATGTAACATTCACTCAATCACAGATGCTTTAAATTTGAAAATAAAATAAAAGAGTGTAGTGACAATAAAGATAAATTTCATTGTTATTATTTTAAATCTTTTTACAAAAAAAAAAATAAATAAATAAAAAATCCTTCCCGTTTGGTTGAAAGAGCATGCTCGGCTCACCCAAAAAATACGAATATAAAAACATGCTCTTCAACAAACTTAGGAGAATTTTTTTTTTTGTAAAAAAGTTGATACAATTGCTTTCTAATTGTTCTTCTATAAGGCTCTATTGGGAACAATGAGGACAACCGACATATACAACCATTAATTTCAAATTTTTACCAAACGACGCTAACGCAAGTTGACAATGTGTCACCCATCATGCTGCACTTGATGGTGAACTACCAAAGAACAATTGTTTGGTTAAAACACAATTTTAAATCTAAGACGAAGACAATATTCGTTCAAGCTCCTCTCATGAGTAAGTATTAGGTAAGTGCCAAGGACACATATATGAAAAGTCAACTTGAAGAAGCAGGAGGTGGTGAGATTTTTAGCAATACCATTTATTCTCTCATATCTTCTTATGAAGCTTCAAACATCGAAGTGGGTGAGGGTTCGAAGAATGCTACCAAAATTAAAGAAGAGGCAAGGAATCAATTGTTGAACATGAATTCTCTAGGGCGGATGACTGAGAGTAGAAAGTTGTTAGGAGAAAATAATAACCTTGAGAAAAGTAGAAGGGATGAGGTCAAGGGGCTAAGGATTGTTAACAAGTTGAAGGGGCCAAAGGATATGAAAAAGAAAAATCTCTAGTCTCGAACATCGATGCAACAAGGTTATCACTCGACACTATAGTAAATGAGAACTCCCAAATTGGTTTTGATGCAAGGAGAGAAAGCATGTTTATCTTTCATCTCTAAAGGTTTTGTTGCATCCTTGGCCTTAATTTTTTTTATGATATGAAAAAATTTACCCTTTAAGTCATTTAGAATTCAAATGGGAAACATCCCCTTAAATCACATATCAAGGGACCTTGTTATTTGGATTTTAAGGCCTATGATGGTACACACCACTCTAAACTGGATAAATTTTCTTAAAGAAGAAAAGCATTTAGTAAAGCTTTACCTAAAAGATAAAAACCCTTGATCTCTTTCGCATAAACATGAATGTAAACCAAATTATATGGATGGAGAAAGGCATATCACATCTCCAATTTATGGCATAAAATGCATGCCTACCACTTCAACCATGACATTAAAGTAATGGATTCATCATAAATGATGAATAGATGAAAGATCATAGGGAAAAAGGAGGCAGTTCGATTACTCTTGAAGGCGTTATGAAGTAACCCATGTGTCATATCAACTATTTATTCTCCTGAGCAACTATCATTCATTTTTTAAAGTGAAGTGCATATAAAACAAAAACTAGTGGGAACAACCTACGAGCTTCTTTAAGCGAAGTTTAATGAGACTTATCAAGCGGTGGTTTCAAGGCAAATGACCCAAGGTAATCCAACAACAAAGACCTGTCAACCAATTGATACAAGATAACCAACCATAGCCTTCCACTCCTAAATGGACATCAAACCTTTTAGGACAAGTCTGTTTGTTCACTTTACATTGTAGCTCATTATCTTTCAAGCTTGTACCTCTAACACCAATCATGACAATTCAATCATACGAGTTGTATCTTGATTGGCTAGATTCTTTTGAATTATGTCGTATTTACCAGAAGAAGTTTCCTTTTTTATTATTATGTCTTAATTATGTTACATTTGTCATAAGAGTTGCCAGGGTAAATTGAGGAAATCTCAATTCTCCCAAATTTCTTTGCCAGGCTGATAAGACAAACTCAAATTTAGCTACTGCGATTCATTCTCTTAGCTAGAATTTATTCAGGCCGCCAAATCTCAAGAGATATATGGTGAGAATAGAACACAAGAATTGAAGATTCATTTCAATCAAAATATTAACTATGTAGGTGGCATATCTTGTACAAGGTATATGCCAACATAGCTAAAAAAGAGATAAAGAAATGATTAAAGCAGTTGGAGGCTATCTACGCCTTGGCATGTTGCCCATCAAAGCTAAGTTGGGTTCTTTGTTGGTTGCACTATGTCTTTGTCTAAGAGGTGTAGTTGTTGACAAGATCATTCTCTCGTTTCTTTTCCTTATTGGAAGGATCCCACCATGATGAAAACTTCACATTGCTCTAAGCCAATTAATAAAAGACATCTTCCACTCAAGTGGACATGTTAAATTTTAGTTGATTTGTGCTACACCACCCTTCATATATCCAATCTAAGTGATTGTTAGAAGGCCCGATTATATACTTTTATTCTTTTCACCGAGCTTGAATGCTTAGCCTTTTGAAATCAAGGTATCAAATGTTTCCCCAACAAACTTCACCCAAGAATCACTATCATCCACCCAAATAATGACCTTCATGTCTTCGCCGTCTCCTTTGTGTGTCATCTCTTCAAAATAGCTAATCGAGTGATCATCTCTTGATTATTGTTTCACAGTAAATGAGTAGTCATCTCCTTCAATGTGGTCTAAGAAGCTATAAGGATCCTCTTAGATTGGAAGTTTAATCTACCCTGCTGAATTTTGGTCAGTTAGCAGTGGCATTCCTCTCTAGCCACCTTTTGATGACCTTTTTATCATTTAAGTATAATAGCTATCTTACTCAACTTTCAATGAGATAGTTGGTTGAATGAACTTATTTAAGGTGGATAGCCTCCTAACCTTCTTGGGAAACACTTTACAACACTTCGATCGCTAGGGACATTGCCTCCTCTTGATTTGCCCGAACCATTTGGTCATCCAAAGCCTTTAAATGATACTCCTATGATGCAAAAAAAAAGAGAGTTTATCCCTTACTGTTGGGACTCCACTTCCTGATTTGGCCGAACCATTTGGTCATCCAAAGCCTTTAAACGATACTCTTATGACACCAAAAACATGTGAGTATATCCCTTACTGGTGGGGCTCCACTTCTTTTAGGCATTAGTAGGTTTTTTCAGTTTGGTCACATTGAATTACATCAATTACCTCTCCATTACATACAACTTTGCTCTTGCTATGGTTTGTTTTTGTACTTCTTATAATTGATCATCATGTTGGTGTTCGTTGGTTTGCTGTCTTTTTCTAGTTCATGCTTATACTTGTTTATTCTAATGAAACTCACTTGATCAATGTTAGTTCGGTTTAAAGTTTCACATTCAAGTTCAATAAAGAAGATTGATTGAAAAGAAATATAGTCAAACTAATTTATTAAAATTGCTGAATGTATTTATCTAATTCTGATTTGACACAACATGATAAATACTCAAATTGTGTTGGGTTAGCATAAACTTGACCTAAAAAAGAAAAAAATACTTTTTTTGGACACGACAACTTGAATACACACACACAAACATATATTATTAAAAAATTAAAAAATATGTATTTGAATGGGTTGATTCATTACTTTTAGGTTGAATCGGACCCAAACTTTTTTTTGTTTGAATGGGTTGATTCATTACTTTTAGGTTGAATCAGACCCAAACTTTTTTTTGTTTTTTTTTTTTTGTCACTTAGTTTGATCCAAACTAGACCTGAATTTTACATAAGTTGATGCAAACTTAAAAACTTTGCTTTAGAGTTAAGTTTTTATATCCAATTTTATATGGACAGCTTGTTGAGACTGAAAGATGCTGAATGGAAACTGATATGTTTGAGTTTGCAAGACTATTGTAGCTCCTATTTTCTTATGAAACTAAATTTAATCCTTGGAAACACAGAAACGATTATAATAAAAAACTTTAAGAACATTGGTTTCCTAAG